AAAGGTAACTACTTAATGCCAACAATTTAATCAGCACTATTCTATTCTCCAGGTAAAAGAACTTGATTAAAAGTTCTTAACATTAGCTGTCATTGGAAAATCACATATGCAGAATTGACCTGTCTTCTGGTACCATCTAATTTCATATATTTTTTTTTTACCGGATTAGAATGCAACTAGTTCAACCTACGGCTCTAGTTCAAACTTCTCTTGCGAAAGTTCCAGGAAAGCCGGAATAGTACTGCATAGAGTGCAGCAGCTTAAAGACGCAGTGTGTGTACGGGTGGCGTACCAGCAGAATATAGGTGCTTCAGTGGAGCACAAAGGCCGGTGGTGTAGTGGTCTAGCACGCAGCAACCTAACATAAAGACAAATGGTTCGATTCTCTCCGGTCCACATCAATTTTCAAAGATGGGGTTCCGTCTGAGATGGGGTTCCGTATACCAATTCTTCACTGGGCTTTCACTTGGAAACATCGTAGTTGGAAGGTGTAGTTCTTAGGAGCTTGCCTTCAGCTTCTCAGACAGTCCTCGGAAGAAATGGATTTACAGGTGGCTCGCTTTCGGAAGAAAACGTTCAGTGCGAAGTGTCCACCTCAAATCTCGAGAAAGAACTCCATATGAGAAATAGCTTATTGATAAAACTGTTGACCTGCTTGCACTACCCGAAATTGGTTTCAGAGTTGATGGGGAACCGGAAGTATGCATTGGTGAATGTTCAGCATCCGATATCGAACCACCACCTTTCGATTTCTTGCTCTTTGTAAATTTCGAGAACGAACTCCTGATCTGAAATGACGCTCTCTTTGCCTAAGCAGTATGACTTCACAAAGCACAACAGCAACCAGTACAAAACGCCAATAACAAAAGCATGGACAACGAAAAACCAACAATTTTCCAACGACCAATGACATGCAGGTATACGATAAAATCGAAAGTTACCTGACAATCAACGTTTGCTTTCTGTATAAATATATGTAAATCAGAAAGTATTATGTGATTCTTTACATTCAAAACTAGCAAAAGAATGACCGCGAAGATTCAAAAATTTCGCGTTACTATCACTTCAGTTAGGTATCGCTGCGAAATTCTAAAATAATTATACCACATACTAATTATGCCAACCGCAAGTCTTCAGTCAGTACGCAAGCATAAGTATATAAAACTAAAGTAAAAACACACCCATACAAATAGTAATATAAATACAGATAGTTATGAATAAAAATGAAAAACACTCACCCAGCTCTTTTTGCCCTGCTTTCCGAAGCTATTCAGGCTGCTCTTATCCGTTTTACTGCCTTTGCTCGAGGAACTCATCGAGGAA